GCGGACCAAAATGTGTGACGTGAAATACTTTTAAATTAAAAAAAAATAACAATAAAATAAAAATTATGTTTTGTGGACTGTAATTTATTTCCCCGTTTGATATTATTCAATACAATAACCACAATAATTTACCTTAAATCTATGGTTAGTAGTTATATTTAAGGAAATATAACAAAATATAATAACATAAATATATTAGCAATTGATATTTAGATTAAAAAAAAAAGAAAATGAGTACTCTAACCTTGCTTCTTCGTACCACTATGACGAGCATTTCAATGTGTCAATTAGTACAGTCAAACTGTATATTATATTCTTATAAGGTGAATTGAACACATAAACCATCTAAAAAAAAGCAAGCCCAACAAACAACAACAGAATCCGTGATACTACACGCTATTAAGTTGGCTATTTTCATGCGTCAAGACCGTAAAACGATACAAAAAAAATTATAAATCCATTCAAATATGATATGGGTTAAAATGACATTAATAAAAGTTTTTAAAAAGAAAAATAAATTTGTTAAACAATTTTTTGGCCTTCAAATTTTGCTATCAAAATACTGCAAAATTAAAAAATTTAAATCGAAATTTCTATATTAAAAAAAAATCAAAATTCATAAACTTAATAATGAAATCGAAGTACTATTTAATATAAGTAAAACAGTGCTAGTTCCACAGTAATAGCTTATTTGGATGTGATGTTATAGGCTCTAGAACATAAGGGGTTTTTTCGTGTTTTTAATTATAATAAATGCACTATCTGGTAAAAACAAAAACTATTTTTGTTGTCAATGATATTTAAGAAGTCTATGATAAAAATGTCAAAAATTTCTGATCTATAGCAGCACACACATTAGGATTGATGTGATTTCACATGGAATGACCCAGCTTAGATAATTAGCATGGAAACAGTTACATATTTATAACTAATAATTAACCAGAAATTATTTGGTTTTTTCTGTCCTTTTCTCAAATTATATTGTAATATTATTTTAAAATCTACTCTATTAAATAGTTATTTTTTTATATTTTTCGTTAATATAGTTTATTTTCCTTTTTTTAATAAATTAAAAAAAATATGGTATGTTATATTATTTGCATAGTTGTAAAGTTTAAAAATTATTCGTGACTCTCTATATTTAACGCAAAATAGTATAATTTACTATAAATAAAAAAAAAATTAACCCTAACACTTGTATTCTACAGTGTAATTTATTAAGAAAACAAAAAAATAAATAATATTTCAATAATTTATTATCTTTAAGTACTTTGTGTTAGTATTAATTTAATGTCATCAGCTAGTAAAATATTTGCATTATTAAAAATGTCATAATGATCCGTTTTAGATTTAAAAGGGCTTTTTAAATTTTTAGTGAATTATAAAAATATCAATATTGACTTTTTTAAAACTATTGAATTTTTGGAACACATTAATTTATTTTTAACTGGTATTGAAAGTAATTTTTAAATTATTATGCTGATAGCCACTAGATTTTTTGGCATATTATTGAGTAAAATAGTTTCAATAGGTGACGATCAGTTGATTAAACTGACAAAAAANCCTTTAATATTATAGTTTCAATAGGTGACGATCAGTTGATTAAACTGACAAAAAACATAATAAAAAGAAACATTTATTTGATATATTTATATTAAACAGAACTAAACTAATTTTCAAATATATATCTGATAAAAAATATGAGGAACGTGTAATTTAAAAATGAAAATTTAATGGAAAGTATATTAAAAAGTATATAATAAAATATAAATCATTGTTAGCAATACAAAATAAAAGTATTTATATAAATTATAATTCGCTACATCAAATAATTTTCAATTTTTGAGATTAACACTATTCTATATACTATAAAATTCTGTAAAATATCACAAGTAGAACAAATTTAGTGCAGTAGGCATCCATCAAAGTGAGATGAGCCATTTTTTAAAAATACTATTGATTAATATAGATAGTGATTAAAATCACTGTCTTAAAATGCTCTCTATCAAAAACGTGTGTACGTTTGATAGGTGCGAAAAAAATAGTTGTCTATTTTGTACCTACTCATTAATTATTAATATTTTCACTAAATATATTTTTATATTAATAGTTATCGGAATTACGACAATTATTTTAAAAAATTATAAACAGTACATATTATTTTTGATCAGGTTAATTACAGTCTTGATGAAGCATAATGGAATAAAAATATCATTCATTGTCTTTATTAATAGTAATCATGATTATTGAAAGAGATAAATACTACTTTGTTAAAAGTCTTGATGTGAAAAAGTGGATAGCAAATTCTATATCAGTAATTAAGAAGTTATTAAAATATTAAAGTATAGACTGATGGTGAGAAATTGGTGCTGTTACTTATATTATTAGTAATTATCTGGCTTTAATCTTCGTCCCACTAGGTAAAAAACGAGAATAACATCTAAAATACTGGTCCAAAAGTCATTTTTTTAATTAGATAATTTTCAATTTTATTTGTTTTGAAAATTTGTTTTCCAAATTGAATTTATTTTACGACTAATCCAGCGGTTTATGATAAACCGAACACCTTATGTTACTTAACACAAGCGTTTCAATTTGAAGTAATTTAGAATGATTTCAATACAATGCCTATATCTTAAAATTGGCTTTTTTACAAAATTTAACGGTTATTTTTAAGACCCCAAGGTACCTAAGTGAATAATTGAATTTTCATAAAATGTATGTTAAAACAATAGTAATTGTTTTAAAAATTAACACTGAAAAATTTATTTTAATATCAGTATTATTAAAATAGTTAGAGCGGTTTGTCATATCCACCAAAAATTAAATGATTATCGTTTTTAGAATCCAATTACTCATTAATGACAAGATATTATTTTAAGGTCCACAAAACAAACTTTAAATTTGATTTAGCTTTGAATGATACATATGTTCCGTTGCTACTCAAAGAACTTTAAAATTATCTAATTTTATTAATAAATATAGTTTAAAAAAACTAAAAAACACGCTTTTAATGCATATCGAACTAAAAAGTTAAAAATAATTTTTAAAATAAGCTTAAATCAATAATGAACGAAAAATACTAGTATTATTGTAATAAAAGTATATTACAAATTTTAAATTTTTTTTAGTAATATTCTTTATCAATTATAATATTAATATTATTTATACAAAATTAGTATTAAACAAACTTTTATTTAAGTAACACAAGTAATTAAAGCCCCTATAATATCAGTGAATTTTTTTTACGAAACATGATTTAGAAATATAAAATATTTATAACTATAAATAATATTAGTATAATAAGTGTTCTATTAATAATTACAACTTACAATGTAATATAATTATTCATTTTATAACTTAGTTTCTTTTACACATAATCACTTAAAACAAGCTGATTTCATTATGATTCTTTTTAAAATTAAATTGTCTATTGAAATGAGTAAGAAAAATTAGGGGTTGCCATTAAAATTTCTTAAGTTAGGGTAGATTTTTACCCTTTTATACTAGGATTAAACTTTAATTTTAATTGTAAAAGATGCATTTAATTATTCAATTAGCCTCTAAAAAAAATTATTAAAAAAATCATTTTTTCCAAACTTATTGAACACTCTGTAGATTTATAATAATTAATTATACAGAGGACGGCGTAATGGACTCCCATATTTCCAAAATGAATTTTAATATAACGATACAAGATATGAAAAAAAAATTTTAATTATAAAAACGACATTGTACCATTTTTTTCAACAATACGTCAAAATATCACTAATTGTATCTAGTTGAAGACATTACCCTTAACATTTTTTATAAATTATTTTTTAAAATTATATCGTCCAAATGATTGCCTTGACGAACGATGCACATTTGAAACCTTTCTCAAAAGTTTTCCATCATTCTCTTCAGCATATCAAGTGGAATACCGGAAATTTCTTGATAAATAGTCACTTTTAGTTCCTCAATAGTTTTAGGTCGATATTTAATACTTTATCTTTGAGTTATCCCCATAAAAAATAGTCACATGTATTCAAATCAGGAATACATATAATGTCCATTACGCTTTACTATAACCAATTAAAAAAAAAAAATGTTTTGAGTTTTTTCCCATTTACAGGGAACGAGGGAAAGTTTTTTAGTTTTTAAGAACCATTTTTTCAACAAGATCTTTTGACGCATTTTTGAAAGAAATTGGTTCGATGAGAACTAAGAAAATTGACGTCAGACAGAAAAACAAAAGCACATCATAGTAAAATTAATACCTTCTCAGGTTCGTATCGAAAATTTTAATGTATTTATTGTCGAATAAGGTTTGATACGTCAAATAATCACAATTTGCGTCTAGTTTAAAGTCATAGAATTTGTACGTTTTGATAGATTTGTTTAATATTTTTTGAAATTCATAATGAGGATTGATAAGTTTTGGTTGATGTGACCAAAAAACCTGTCTTCCTTAAACCTCTATTAAATGAAGTCCGACAACGACCTACCGCAAATACACGTGAAGACACCTTCGTGATACCGAGCTGACCGCACCAACGGATCGTCATCATATAATTTAATTTGTGTCAACTCATATAAACTATTCATTTCATGTTTTATAAACATTTAGACACAACTATATTCTATTGATTCTTTTTGTTTGTGTGGTTGATCAGTGCTTGTTTCTTATTAAAAATAAACGGCTCAGTGGTACTTGCCCACTAACATGTTTCGGCTATATTATTCGAGTAAGGAACCTAACACAATGTTATATTAAAAATAGTTTACCTCTGGCGCGTTCTTTTTTATATCAACGAGAGATGAGATTTCAATATAATTTTTTTTCAGCAAGTTATCATTTTTACCTTATATAACTGGCAAATGTATATTGCCAAATAATAAGATATTACATAATTTACCTTAACATTTTGATGAAGATAAAACACTTTTCTTTTTAATAAAAAAAAAAAAGTTCTTTTATTATTAGTCAAAGTGCACTCAAAAAACACAAAAATGCATACTAACACAAATATATTAAGAATATGCATTTTTTTAAATATCTTGTACTAATTAATTAAATTGGCATTGCTACTAACTAAGAATTTGTGCGTATAAATATTTATAGGGTGACACGGTCCAGGGTCGCTTCATGATACACGATGCCCCACGACTCGTGCCACTTTTATCAGCCGTCGCCCTACTATGAGTATTTGACTGGCCAACACCTCGTGACATATGGTGCGGTGCAAAGTTCCAGCAATTTCCGTGCGGTCGAAGACGACCCACCGCAAATGATCCGTTGAGTCGTCTTCCCGTTGTCAAAGCCACAACGTTGAGGACATGACGCACGAACAGACACAAGAGAAAAAAACACATTACAGTGAAATTGATACCTTCTCAGCTTCGCATGGAAGCTAAAATAGATAAATAATAATAACTACAAAAGGTGCATGTATTTTTTTTATTTGATTAAACAAATCCTAACTGATACTCAATATATTTGATAAAAAGAATGTATAGAGAATATTATAAAATATTAATAATAATTGTAATAAAAAGTAATAGTATTTAATAAATATCTTTGGGAACATTTATTCAACCATCATTTTTTTTGTTTCTGAATGAAACACCAATCGTATTACAAAAGTCTGAAAATTAAAATGAGTGTAAGTAAATAAATTAAAATAGAGTATTCATTGAGCAAAGTGAAGTTGAGGTATTCTTTAGATTAATTTTCATAAAAATAACTGTCATAAACATTTAATATGTGTATGAAACATATTAGAAAAATTAAAAATTATAAATATATTTAAAATATTTCTAATATTAAATAATATAAGCCACAAGTAATCAAGTCTCACTATAAGTTAAAAAAATACTAAACAAATCTACCAAAAAGTACGAAGTCTATAACTTGAAAAATGGATTATTCATAGAAGAAAAGTTACTGTCACGTTTTTCTTTTATTAATCGTATATAACATATTTAATTTAAAATAATTTAGAGTAATGTTATATGCGTTAATATAAAAAATAATACAAAATTGACCATTTTTACGTATATTGTATGATATTTAAGAGTCTAATATATTTAGGTTAATAATTGATTTTTCATAAAATATATGTTGAACAACCATCAAACAGTATTCACTACACAATTAGTTGATAGTAAATCAATATAAAAAACTATTCAATTTAATTCCTTTTGGAATTAGGCTCACTGCTAAAAAAAATTCCTTCATTTTAAGTGTAGTATATTTTAATTACCATTATAAGAAATACGATGCTTTTCTTTTTCGTTTATGGATTTTATAATAGCTTGTAAATACTCAATAGGATAATTTAATCTATCTTCTTTTGTCATTGAACTTAAAAATTTATTAAAATCCTTAGCATAGATGTAATTCTGTCCATTTGAATAAAATTTAAACAGACTCTTATCTATTACACTACGATTAGCAATTTTTTTCGGTTTTTCTTTTTGACTATTTAATGTGAATAGTTTCAAAAATTTGTCAAGTCCTGTTTTATTGTCTATAATGATTAAAAAATTATTAAATTACAGATACATAGAATATAATAAATATAATATATGTAAATATTGTAATAAATATTATCAAATATAACACTGTACTATTAAGTATTTTAACTTTCGAATACCAACCCAGTCATGCTAATCTTACTTTAGTACGGGTCAAGAGTATTCCCATTGAAAAGAAGCTAAAAAGTTATTTAGGTAAAACAGGTCAATTTTATTTTTTCGCTATAATCCATTTTGTTTTCAAAATATTGTTAACAGATAAATTAGTAGTAAATTAATGAAGTCTTATTAAAATGGAGCGCTTAAGTTATTTAAGTAATAAAAATAAAACTTATAAAACTACCAACAAATTAATAGCAATTTTTTTATCACCCCTCTCAAAAAAATAATTTAGGACTGCCACTGTTTCGTGTAGATATCTATTGTAATACCTTTAATATTATAATTACCGTTATCAGAATCAAGGAATTTCATCATAACATCATATTCCTCATCCTTTTTTACCAGATCAAGTTTATTAAAAATGGACTTCAAATCTGTAATAGTTAATTTATTCGTATCGTTAGATGTCACTGAATTATAAATAGTTGTAAGCAAACTAATTTGTTCAGCTGTCGCATCATTCTAAAAAATACAATATTATTAATATAAAACATAGATAAAATAATAAAAAATTATTAAAATTTATATTTTGATAAAATCAATATTAATTTTTTTCTGAAATAGACTTTATAATATTAATTGAAAAGTAATTATTCTTAACTCAAACATAACTTTTAACTTATTATTTTATGTTAGAAACATAAAACTGTAAATAGTTCAACACATATAAGAAAGTTATTACAATTACGTGATAATCTTATCTGTAATTAATATAATACGAAGTGTTTCATATTTTTAAAACCAATACACGATTATACTTTGATTAAACTAAGCAAAATAATTTACCTAAGACATAAAAATAAACTTTCAATTAATTACTAAATTATTTTAACTCTAAACTATTTATAAGCGGAATGAAAATTTTATATTGCTAAGGATTTGTAAAGAATTCGAAAATATTTATGATAATTGTATGTTCTTTTAAATAAGTTTCTGCTCTAAAAAAATATTTTTTGTTTTGATACAAATTTTACTACTTTTTTAAAAATTTAAACTATGAGATCAAATCTTAGAATTATTTAATTAAAAACTGTAAACATGAAGTTTAAAGTATTATAAAATACTTTGTGTATCGCTTATATATTAAATAAGATTAATCAAATTATGTAAAAACAATTTTTGAAAAATTTGTAAGTTACACCTGTCTTTTGAAGGTTTTTAATTGTAAAAAAAAAGAAGGTATGTGTGTTATATAGACATTTTTTAGCTTCAATGCGAAGCTGAGAAGGTATTAGTTTTACTAAGATGTGATTTTTTTTTTTTTTGTGTCTGTTACCACTTTTTCTCAGCTCTCACCGAACGGATTTCTTTCAATGATACGTCAAAAGATCACAAATCGTATCTAGTCGAAGACATTACCCTCAAAAATTGAAAAAAATTCCCTCGTTCTCCGTAAATGGGGGAAACCTCCGAAATAATTACAAATTTAAATATGGCTAATTTTCGAAATTTTTTCACTTTTTTTTACTAAAAACTGCCTTAACTTTTTTAAAAATAAACATATCAATATAATTCTTTTTTTCATAGATGCATGATGTCATTACCTATCATTTGGTATATTTTTTTTATAAATCTGACTTTTTACCTGCCCACAGGGGGGGATTTAAAATGACAATTTTTTTACAAAAAATTAATTTTTTCAACTTAAATTTTCCGGAAAGTCTGACACTTTTCTATATATATTAAATTAAAGCTAATGTAATCTACTGTAGTAATATGCTCAATGCTTTGCATGACGCATCTTACAATTATTAATGAAAAATGTATAATCTGTATTTTAAATAACTTGTAAACAATCAAATAATTTATCTGTCATAACAAATATGATGTTCAACACAATTTCTTATTATTTATATATATATGTCAATTTATCAATTGTTAAATATGTTATCTGAATATAATAATCCTGTAATGTATAATTAATACAATAAACTAAAAAAGATTACTAAAAGCGCTGACAACAATATCCCTGGATTGGGGGCAATATCATTTTACTATAAAAAACACTGAAATCCTTTCAGTCCGAGAGAGTCAGGGAAAGACTCCAGAGAGACGAAAAAAAAAGAAGAAGTGACAGCGACCAAAAGAGTTCGTTTTCTTCGAATTAAAAGTAACAATTATCAGTCACAGCCCTGTGTTGTTGTCGGCTGACTTTTATGCATTTTATTTATATATGAAAAGAACTTGCTTTAATTATTTATCTTTTGACGAAGTGCTAATTAAATACTTTTAAACATATATAAACATATCGAGATAATTATCAAATCATTTTACAAGCAATTTACAAGAATAAAAGAAGTAAGTAATTTTATGTTATCCCAATTATTTGGAGTTAATAAATTTGAGTAAAGAATGACAAAGCAATAGATCATTTATTAAATTAATATCTTAAAGTGTCAATTTTGACTGGTTGGTTAAAGAAATTATACATAATCACGTTATATGGTATTCGTGAACTGGCTCTGCCGTTTCGTTGCCTTAAAGATGTTTTAAAAAACCTAGCGTGATTTCTACTGTATAAATTAGGCTCTGGTATTCGTGGACTGGCTCTGCCGTCTCGTTGCCGAGGTATTCGTGAACTGGCTTCGCCGTTTCGTTGCCTCTTAGTTAGGACATTAGAAACTAACCAGACAAAAGTTTATTCTACCTCTATAAGAGGAACTTAATATATTTTTATATCTACTTGTCTTTGTCGTTCTAAACCCTCGAACCATACGACCCCGATAGAACCACAACATCAGGTTCTCACTATACCCATCGCTCATTTTCATCATTTATATTTTACCAACTGTTTACCGATTTAATTTATATATTTGAATTATAACAAAGTGGCGCCCAACAACAGGCTTAGTTAATTTTACTAAGGGTTTTTTGAAAATTAATTAGAAAAAGTATTTGAATTGCGATTTTTATATTATTTATATAAAAAATTGGTTGAGAATTATTTCTTTATCAATTAAAAAAATTAATTAAATAAAATTTGAGAATCAAATCGCGCTTATTATATGAAAATTTAAATTATTTATTTATTGAAAATTGAAATTGCGTATGTTGAAATTAAATTGAATTTAAAAAAAAAAAGTAAATTGCGCTTATTTGTTTGAATAGAAATTATTAAAAATAAAAACGCGCTTATTGGAATTATTTATTTATTGAAAATTATATTGAGCATAAATTAAATTGAAAATTATATCTCAAAAGAAGTAAAAAATTGAAATTATTATTGGGAATTGTATTATTGAACGAAAAAATTGATTATATTATTGATTGAAAATCATATTGCGCTTACATTAAAAGTCGTTTAAATCTAAAAAATTTAAATAGGCTTATTATATAAAAAATTGAATTTATTATTGAAAATTGCGCGTAACTTAAAATTATTTAAATTAACATTTTGAAATAAAAAAGAAAAATTACGAGTTGAGAATAAATTTATTTGAATAATACAGAATTTGAGAATAAAATTGTATAAGGGAATATTTAGAGTTATGTCAGAGGAAGTAGAATTAATTGAGATACAAGGTATTCCAGACGAATACAAAAAAACATTAGAATGGATTAATAGTTTAAAAAGACTCGATCTTATTAAAGAACTTGAAACAAGAAAGTTATCTACTACAGGCACTGTATCAGAATTAAAAGTTAGGCTATTTTGGTTTTTTCTACCTAAAACACTAACGCAAACTAATAATAAAAATATTATTGATCAAAATTCAAATTCACCCAAAGTAACTAATAATTTCAACATGAATAAAAATTTATTTTTCAAACCAACTACATTTTCGGGTGGAATAAATGAACGCGTAGACTCATTCTTAAAAACATTTAATAGAGCAGCGTTAATTAATAATTGGTCAGATAATGAAAAACCGCAATATTTAGTTGCATTTTTACAAGGCTCAGCATTAACTTTTTATGATAATATTGAGTCATTAAAATTACCCTGGAATGAATTAGAGAAAAAGTTTAGGAATGAATTTGAACCCATTGCTCAGAATGATATGTTACGTATTTTATTAGAAAAAAGAAAACAGTTAGATGATGAACAAACAGTTGCTTATATTAATGATATGGAAGCTTTGTGTAAAAGAATTGATGCTAATATGTTAGGTAGCGAAATAGTGAGAAATGTTATGAAAGGTCTCAAACCAAGCATTGCGAGATACGTTAGTATTTTAGACAATAATAATTTAGACGAGTTAAAAAGAAACATTCAGAAATATGAGATGGTTGAATTTATGATTACTGGAGAAACAGCTAAAAGTCCGTCTGAAATCAAACAATCTATAATTAATGAAAAAATTAATAAAATTACCCAGAATAACGAGAATGATGATTTAAAAAAATTAATAGAGGAATTTCAAAATTTAAAACAAAATCAAGAACAATTTTTTAATGAACATATTAATCTTATACCTATTAATAGGCAATTTCAAAATTATAATAACTCATCTAACAAGTTTTTACAAAGAAATAATCAATTTCAGAATAATAATAACGATTCACGTTATAAAAATCAATTTCAAAATAGTAATAAATTTAATAATAATTCACCATGCTATAACAATAATCAATTTCAAAATAATAATAGTTCTAAAAATAACTTTTCATCAAATTACGATCAATTTCAAAAGCAATATATACCTTATGATAATTATAATCGAAATATCAAATTACATAATAATAATTATTCAAAATTCAAAAATAATGATCGAAATTTTTCACAATTTAAAAGTAATTCTCAACAAATTTACAGACCACAGTTTAATCAAAGGGAAAATTTTCAAAATAACAATAACTTTCAGATGAATCGTAATTCACAGAATTACAAATCAAATACTTTAAAATGTAATTATTGTGCTAGGAGTAATCACAATTCAGAAAACTGTTTTTATAATATTAACAAAACAAAATGTCAATTATGTGACCTTATGGGCCATACAGCTCGTAACTGTCCAAAAAATTCAAAAAACTAATTTCTAGGTTAAACGATAGTGCTGAAGAAAACAGTTTACCTTTTAAATCAGCACACAATATTATAAATAATGTGACTCAAGAAAGTCACGTTCCTATTGCTTTACATTTTTATGCTTTATTTAATGATATTAAAATGCCTATCACCATTGACACGGGATCAAATATATGTTGCGTAACACATACTTTAATTTCAAACAATCAGATAAAATCACAATATTTTTCAAATATATGTGGTCCTGACAATAAACCATTAAATATTTTAGGAACATCAAATATTATCATAAATATAGAATCAATAGATTTTATCATTAAAGTTTTCGTAGTAAAAAACTTATCTTGCATGATTATTCTTGGAAATGAATTTTTAGACAAAAACAATTGTGTCATTGATTTTGATAGACAAACAATGTGTTTGAATGATCAAATTCAATTACCTATATATTTGGACAATAATTTAAATCTTAATCAATTAAATTCTAATTTTA